AACATGCACTGACACGTCAGTAGCGTCTGGACTCTCTCGGGGTTCCCCTCCTCGCAGGCCCGCCACAGCTCGGCGCTGAGGAAGGCGAAATGCGTCAACAACTCGTGCGTCGTCGGCTGAGCCCCCAAAGGACTGTGCTCCCGAAAATACTGGTGCATGGCCATGGGGGTCACGGCGCTGACTTCCACGCCCAGGACGCGGGCCAAATTCTCCTTCATCCGTCCTCGCACGTCGGGGCCGTGCTGTATCAGCGCTTGCTGCCACTCGCGCCTCCGAGCAATGCCCCCCATCGGGGCCGACGCGGGCGCGGGATCGCCCGAGCTCGTGGGCGGAGATTGAGCAGAGTCGCTCAGAGTCCCCAGAAGCGGGTGGACGGTGGGCCGATGGCCCCGCCCCTGCTGCAATAGGAGGGACTGGTGCAGACACTGTAGCATGAGGCTGAAGTCCGTCTGATTGGCTGCATGGGGGAGCTCTGACCCGTCGGCGCCGCCCGCCTCGGCAAAGCCGTCGGCCACAGCGGGATGGGCTAGCCCAGGTGGCGGCGGGGGACCCATCGTTCCGAGGCCCGAGGTAGGGGCTCGAGGAACAGCAAGAGAGCGCGCCTTTTCCCACGCCGCGACCAGCGCGGAGGTCGGGCCCTTGGGACGTGCGGAGACCCGCTGTGGGGCCACGGGCGCGTGGGACAGGACGGCCTCGATCCCCGCAGGATCCAGCCCGAGGCGCACCGCTTCGTCGCTGAAAAGTTGGGGCACCTCGGGCCGTTCGCCCCGGGCAGCTGGAGCGAAGCCCAGCGGCTCGGGGCCGCCGACCATCGGGGAGGCCCCGTGAGCTGCAAGCAAGGCGCGCATTTCGGCAGCTACTTCGGCACGGGTCATAGGGGCCCCGTCGTCCAGGGACGCCGCGGGAGCGCCAGGAGCGATCGGAGTGGGACCCGCGACCCTGGGCGGCACGGCGGTGGCTGCGCGCTTCGCGGGTGGGCCGCGTGGGACTCCAGCGTCCGCAGGGGACCGCGCACTTGGGACCGTGCGGTCGGCTTCCCCATCGGCCGCGAACCCCTCGGGCTCCTCCATCTCGTCGGCGGATTGATAGGGAGTAGCTCGATCGGCCCCTGGGAGCGGCTCTTCCCCTGCGGTAGGAGGAGCGCCGTGCAAGCGTGCGTAGCCCTCGCGAAGCACCCGAACCCCCGAAGGATGTGGCCAGTAGACGCGGCCGCGCACCTCGGCGAAGGGAACGATGCCAGCGTCCGCGCCGACTTCCAGAGGGTAAAGCGACTCGAGCTCGAGCTCTGCAACCTCGATATCTATGACGAGGACGGATGCGGTAGTGGCGAGCGGCCGTGAAGCGGCACCCAGGAGCTGGATGTCCACCAGCTGAAAAGGGCCTAGCATTCCCGTAAAGCCACCCGCCTCGGCAGCCTCGAGCTCCGCCGAAGAGCGAAAGGCGCCAGGCAGGGCCAGAAGTATGCCCCCTTCCCGAGACGCGAGGGGGATAGCTGCCCAGCTGGTGTCGCCTTCGTCTAGGCGCCATCGTGCGTAGTCGCGAGCCGTGGGAGCTGCGAATGGGTAGAGCTCGGGCCAGAGAGGCCCTCCGCCAACTGGTGGCAGCTCAGCCATCAATGGGCGCTGCTGTGGGAGCTGGCGCCCGAATGCTGGGCGTCAGCCCGCTCGAGCGCTCGGGGCCGAGGCGGAACCCCGTAGGCCAGCGCTCGCGCCGCGCGGCGGTCCTGCTCCAGCGAAGCAGGACCAGCACCGCGCGGCCAGGCGGAAGCCCTGAGCCTCCGCCCCACGTACGGGCCCCACAGCCCGAAGCAGCAGCCTGCGCAGGCGCTGCACGCGGCCGTCACCCAGAGAAGGGCGACGACCGTGCTGAGCAGCCAGGGAGAGACCCCGCCGCTCAGATCCACCGCCAGCCCGAGGCAGACGGTGGGGCAGGCAGAACCCGCCGAGGGGAGGGGGCAGAAAGCCCCCTCGCCCTCAGACGAGTCCGCCTGCTGGATGGACCAAGCAGGCACAGGAGGCCCTTGGTCCTGGAGTACAGAGAAGGGGGCAGCCACGAGCCGCTCGTAGAGCGCGGCCCGCAGCCCCCTGAAGAAGATCTCCCCAGCGCCCCCGAGAGCCGCTTGTACGACCGCCTGCATAAGGCGCCCGCACGCGCGGCCGATGGGGGGGCGCCCTGGGCAGAGAAGCTGCGGAGACAGCAGGAGCTTGCTCACAGAGAATAGAAGAAGCATCATCATCATCATCATCATCATCATCATCATCATCAGCATCAGCATCATCTGCAGCAGCATCAGCATCATCATCATCATCATCATCATCATCATCATCATCATCATTGTCATCATCATCACCACCACCACCACCATCATCATCATCATCATCATCATAATCATGATCATCATCATCATCATCATCATCATCATTATCATCATCATCATCATCATCATCCTTCTCCTCCTGCTCCCTGTCGCACTCTCAGGCCAGTCAACAGGGCGGGCCAGGTGGTTCGCCTGAAACTTTCTCACCATCTACGACCCTGAAACTTTAAAAGTGGCAACCTTTCCACATATGGACGGCGGGTGGTTTTCAAAATGTAGCTCCCGCCTTAGCGCTGCGAACATTCCTTCTACAAAATCGCAGGGAATTCACGGATTGAGGGCGAGTGGTTTTGAAAATGTAGTTCTCGCCTTAGCGCCGCGCACACTCGTCTTCACAAGCAGCAAAAGTTAACAATTGAGGGCGGCTCCTATTCAAAATGTGGCTCTCGCCTTAGCGCCGCGCACCTTCGTCTTCAAGCATTACAAGAGTTTCACGGATTCCCGTGGTTAACGTACCAGAAGTGGTCTCTTGGAGCGACGACTGTTAGGGCGCAAAAGTTACATTGATTCGCGGTGTCGAGGTTACAAAAATTGCCCGGTTCAGGATCGTCAGGACGCAACAGTCAGGTTGATTGGCGGCGTTGAAGGTCCACTGATGGTGTTTGGGCACGCTTCAGGATCTTCAGACGGTTGTCTCCCAATGGGGCACTTCCCTCAGTGGAAATGACTCCTGCTAGGGGCCTATGAAAATTGAGCTTGGTGTGAAAGTTGATTCCAACATCTTTGATGAGTTCTGAGTTCACACTGGTCCTCGTCCTCCTCATTGTCCTTATCCTCCTCCTCTCCTCCTCTTCCTCCTCCCCCTCCTTATCCCCTTCACCCTCATCATCCTTCCCCCCTCGCTCCTCCTCCTCCTCCTCCTCCTCCTCCTCCTCCTCCTCCTCCTCCTCCTCCTCCTTCTGACTGGTTCAGCAGGAGACCGGGGTGCGCGTGCCGCTCGCATCCGACCCCGCCCGTCTACGACCCCGTGTGATTATCCGCCTCGCACTGCCCGTGAGCGTCGAGGAGGGGCGATCAAGACAGCCCGCGGGCAAGGCAACTCGAAAGCTGATACAGATGCCGAGGCCCCAAAGATGTCGTTTTTGTTGACTATTGACTATTGCCGGTAGAGGTCGCTGCCCCGAGGAAAGGGGGGCAAGTGGGGCCCCGGGCAACGATGACCCTTGGGCGGGGCACATCGGGACGACAGTGCGCTACCATCGCCAAAGCTTGCGCGCGAGCGACAGCATGAAGGGGGGGGCCAAGACCCCCCCCCCGCCCCGCGCGAGCGACAGCATGTTGGGGGGGGGGGGGGCCGAGGCCCCCCTCCCCCCCGCCCATGCGTGCGAACGCTACCCTTACCCAAGGCGGGGCGGAGGGGGGGGCGCGGATCCTGAGCAGGGCAGGCAGGCAGGCAGGCAGGCAGGCAGGCAGGCAGGCAGGCAGGCAGGCAGGCAGGCAGGCAGGCAGGATCCTGAGCAGGGCGTGGCACCGAAGCCCCCCCTTGTCCGCAACGACTGAGCCACTCGTGATCGCCTTTCCTCCGCCGCCCCCGCCGGAACGAGCCGGCGCCGCTGTCGGGCGAGATCCTAACAGATGGGACCCTGACGGGCGGGTCGGGAGGACGGGACGCAGAGGGACCCTAACGGGCAAAACGGACTGGCAAGACCATAACGGGACGGTCGGGCGGGCGGGACCCTACCCTAATGGGTGGGTCGGGCGGGCGGGACCCTAACGGGCGGGTCGGGCGGATGTCTGGCGGAAAGAAATGGGCGCACATGTGTATGTGCAAGACTGCGTGTGCAGGTGTGCCGCACGCACACTTTTGGCATCAAAGAGATGGGTCCTCAGGGAAACTTGTCCCAGACAAAAATGCTTCCCCAGGCACGGCATGTCGTCCCGAGTTGTTCTTGACGGCCCTGGTCACTTTGACGGGCACCGGAAGGCCAAAAACACAATAAATCAAGACACTTTCCCTCAGGGCCCCTTGGATAGTGGCAAGCAGAGTTGCCTCGTCTGTTCTGTGAAGTAGCACCCAATGGGACGGCTTAGATTACGAATCCATCAAGCCTCAGAACTGCAACAACCACTCGCTTCTAGCCACTACATGACACTTGCTCGACGACAACTAGTGCTCTCGAGCATCTTCGGTATTGAGGCTGATGGAACACTGCAGCCACGAATCCAAGCGGATCGAGCGTCAATTTCGGATCATCGTTCCAACCCATGTCGTTCCTGTTCAAGCGGCATTCATGAAAGAGCGCCGGCGACTTGAGTTTGACACGCTGAAGAAAGTGACCGCCCCCCTCCCTCCCTCCCTCCTCCCTCCCTCCCTCCTCCGTCCTCGGCCGACCTCCTAGCCACAGCTTTAGAGTTCAACCTAGCCACCCCAGTCCTCCTCCTTCTCCACCTCCGCCTCCGCCTCCTCTTCCTCCTCCTCCTGCTCCTCCTCCTCCTCCTCCTCCTCCTCCTCCTCCTCCTCCTCCTCCTCCTCCCCCTTCCGTCTCCTCCCCTCTCATTCCTCCCCCTCGACATCCTCGCCCTCCTTCTCCCCCCCCCCCCCCCCGCCTCCCTGCCCCTCCTCCCTCCCTCCCTCCTCCTCCCTCCCCCCTTCCTTCTCCCTTTTCCCCAGCCCCGGGGACGCCTGCGGCTCGGCGCCGCCCACCGCCGCGCGCGGGCAGATGCGCCTCCCCGCCTCCGCCGCGACCTCCGCAGCGATGTCGCCGACGACCTGCGCTCGGCCGTCCCCCCCCCCAAGCCCCAGAAGGCCCCCGGGCTCCCCGATCCTCGACCCTGGATCCTGGACCCTCCTCCTGGCTCCTGCTGCCTGCTGGGATGCGAATTCTCCGGACGCTGCCCTCCACAGGAGGAGGAGGAGGAGGAACTCTCTACACTCCCTGCGCTCTCTGCGCTCTGCCCCCCCTGCGATCTGCGTATCTGCTCTCCCTAGGGGAACACAAAGTGACATAAACATAAAAACTCGGAGGTCCGCGCGGATTTCTCGGATCGGCGCTGGACCCCCCAGGGTTGGTCGGCCCTGGGGGGGATGATCAAGCCAAAGGCAGGCGACTCCCGGAGCACCGCTCCAGGAGTCGCCGGCTGGTGGGGCAAGTTGCAAAGGCGGGGGAACTCGGCGTCAGATCAGACAGAGAGGGGAAGGAGGAGGGATATGGTGATCCATCCTCCTCCTCATCCTCCTCTTTTTCCATGCGCTCCCCTTGAGAACAGCTCCTCCCTGTCACACCCCAGACGGCTCGGTGGGGCGGGCCTGGCGCTCCGCCTGAGAGTCCCTCACCATGGATGACCCTGGAGCTTGACGTGTGCCACAGCTTCACGGATGGAGGGCGGGTCGTTTTCAAAAGGTGGCTCCCGCGTGAGCTCCACATGCATTAGCCTTAAAATTTGCAACAAGATCAAGGATGGATGGCTGGTAGCTTTCCACATGTGGTCATCGACTCAGCGCCGCGCACGCTCGTCCAAAAAACGCGCAGCAGCTCCAAGAATGGAAGGTGGCTCGCTTTCAAAAGGTCGCTCTCGCACACGCACTGCGCAGGCTCGTTATGACTGCAAGGATTCGCACTCCCAGGAATTGTGTTTTGGCACGACTGCGGATTGCCAGGACACAACTGTCACGTTGATTCGCGGGGCTGAAATCCGAGAAGTGGCGTTCTGGCACGATGCAGGCTTGTCAGGGCGCAACAGTCGTGTGGATCCACGACGCCAAAATCCAGGAATCGTGTTTTGGCACGATTGTGGATTTCAGACGCTTATCTTCCAAAGGGCCACTTCCAGCAGTGAAAATACATCCTTGCAGGGACCTGCGAAGAAGGAATTTGGAGAGAGGGATTTTTGCAACATCGTTGATGCCATTGGGTTTACACTGGTCCTCGTCCTCCTCCTCCTCCTCCACCTCCTCCTCCTCCTCGAGGGTCGAGGATCGAAGATAGACGCGTTGGCCGTAATTGGCCCTTTCTGGGCCTCCGCAGAACCCTGGAGACCTCCGAAGGCATCTGATGACCTTCGGAGATCCTCGGAATCCTCGGGGGGCGTTCATGGGCCTCCCCCCCACCGAAGGCCTCCAGGGACCTTCGGAAACCTGGGAGACCTTCTGATCCACTCCTTGCCCTTATTAATAAATCCTCCCTGTCGCCCCCCGAGGCCGGTCGAAAGGGCGGGCTGGGCGTTTCGCCTGAGACTTCCTCACCCTTTATGACCCTGAAGCTTTCAAACTTACAACAGCTTCACATATGGAGGGCGGGTGGTTCTGAAAATGTGGTTCTCGCCTTAGCGCTGCGCACAATCTTTTCAATATTTACAAATGAGGGCGGGTAGTTTTCAAAATGTGGCTCTCGGCTTAGCTCCGGCGCACACTCGTCGTGAAAATTTTTTAAAAAAAATCACGGATTGACGGCAGGTCGTTTTGAACATGTGGCTCTCGCCTGAGCTTCGCGAACAAACGTTGAAAAGATTTGCAAGTGCTTCACGGATTGGGGGCGTCGTTTCGAAAATGTGGCTCTCGCCTTGGCGCCGCGCACATTCGTTGCAAAAAGAAACAAGAGCTTCACGAATCGAGGGTGCCTCCTTTTCAAAATGTGGCTCTCGCCGTAACGCCGCGTTCACAGATTACTGTGATTATCCTTTCTCCGCTTTCAAAATGTGGCGCTCGCCTTAGCGCCGCGCACATTCGTTTTGAAACTGTCCTAGGGCTTCACGGATGGAAGGCGGCCCGCTTTCAAAATGTGACGCGCTTGCAACCTGAACGCGCTTGGTATGCTTTCGACACGTGCACGCGGATGTGGGCTTTGTCAGTTGATCAAAAAAGATTGCAGGAAAATCATAATTTGCGAATGACGAGTGCGCGCACATAGTATCATTTGACAGGGATCAAAGGGGGTCGATACCATGTGGGCTGGGGATGGTATGAAATCAAATGGAAAACGAACGACAGGGCAGAATCATAGGTAATTTGCGATGTTCCAGGGGACGCCGATCAGTCCGCAGGGAAGCGGGTGGTAGAGCCTGTTCTTCTTTCGACCCGAGAACCGATACGGTGCCATGCATGTGGTGTGCGCTATGTGTGCTGCAAGCTCTGTGGTGCAATCTACGTGGTGTGATGTATGATATGGGAGCTGTGCGGTGCAGGCTGCGAGGTTCACTCCCTTCGGCATCAGCCACGAGGTGCAAGCTACATATGCGGTGCAGTCGATGTGCTGTGAGCTATGCAATGTCATACGCACGGTGCGCCTACGAGGCGGCCCTGGGCGACCGCGCGGCAAAACCTCCCCGGACCCACACCCACCCCGCGCACGACGCGGCCACGAGGCGGCCCCGGGCGGCAGTGTGGCGAAGCCTTGCCAGACCCACCCGGCGCGCGAGGCAGCAACGAGGCGGCCGCGAGGCGCCCGCGTCGGCACAACTGGCAGGCCTGCTCATGACAAGAAGCAGCGCTCACGCCACGAGCGGCCTCCAAACAGGACGCTCACTCAGCAGGCGTTTTGAGCTACGGTGCGCAGAAAGGCCTGGAGGACGGGCGCGCTAATGGGCTCACCCAGAGCAGAGCGCCTTCGTGGTGGACGAGGGAGGCCTGCAGCGGCACTGACGCCCCGATATGCCCCTGTTATTCGCGGCGCTGCCCGCGATCCGAGCCGACAAAGAGGACTAAGGAAGCGAGGTGATCAGAGGCCTTAGCTGGAAACGCTTGCAGGGCAATCGGTGCGTCGAAGCGTCGGAGCTCGCCGGAGCTCCTCCTGGTGAACAGGCCAGCTCGGCAAAGAGTGCGCCGACGTCGCCACCCGAAGCCCGCGTCGAGCTCCAGCTGCAGGAGGGTCCCATCCCAGAAGCAGGTGTGGGGAGCCCCAGGTTCCACCACCACCGCCACCGTCGCCCACCCAGACCGGCGATGCCGTGGTTTGTCGATGCGCGGTGCCCAGAATTCCCGACCCCAGTTCCCTGGTGGCCAGCTCTTCACCCCAGCTCTTTCTCTGGCGGTCCAGGAGCCCGAAGACTGACCTCAGAGGCCAGAAGTGGCGGAGAACCTGCGCCCTGATCGCTTCGAGTCGTTAGTGAGCATCGCTAAACCGATCCCTATCGCCACCAGCGTGGCCTGGGCACAACAGGCCGACTTGACCCCCATTAGATGGGGAGATCGGCCGTTCCCTTCGAGTCTCGCGGGGCATCTCCCAGAACTGGGGTGGTGGGATGGTGGGGATGGGGATGGGGATGGGGATGGGGATGGAGATTGGTCAGACGATACTCCACATTTCGTAATAAAAGGGAGGGGGTCTGGACCCTCCAAGACAAGCCATTTCAGACCTCCCCCGTGGGAGAACCCTCCAAAACATCGTCCCCAGACCCCCCAGGCCCTCCAAGATAGCCTGGAAGAGACCCCCCCCCGAAATGAGACCCCCCTCCCTTTATTACGAAATCTGGAGTACTCGGTTGGGAGGTCTGGGGAGGGGGGGGTCCCTCCCTGGGGAGCTCAGCAGCGCGGCCTGCCCCCCCTCCCTCTTCGACCGCGCGGGCCGCAGGGGGAGCGCGCGCGCGCGGGCCTCGCGGCGCTGCCCGAAGTGGTTCGCGAGGGCCACGAGCTCGCTGGCCCGGAACAGCGGCAGGGACTGCGGGCGCGCAGTGGGCCGTGCCGCGGGCCAGGACACACAAAGAAATACACACAAATAAAAAGATTCCCCATATGTTCCCATATTTTCTGGGTTTCTGTCTTCCCCCCACTTCCCATATTTTCCCATATTTTCTGGGGGATCGAAGATTAATTGTGTCTGTGTGCACTCATGGGCGGCGCACTCGTCGATCCGACCCCTCGCGTCCTTGACGAGCGAACAACACACACACCCATGCCCATAGGGAGGTCGGAGGGAGAAGGACTGGCTGTGGGATATGGGTGCGGGTTGTCGGACCCCTGAGGAGGCTCCCGTTCGAGCGGGGACCCCATATCCGACAACACGCACCCATAGCTCATTCCGTCTCCCCTATGGGTATGGGTGCGTGTTGATCGTTCGTCAGTCCTGGGCTCCGGGGAGCGACTTTCTGCGGATGCGCGGCCGCACGGACGAGTTCCGCGCGGGGCGTCCGCGAAGCAGCGCCCCGTCTCCGCGGGGTCGCGGCCCAGGGGCCTGGCCCACGAGGCCGCGGGCACGGGCATGTTGTTCGCCCACTGGCCATGCCGATTCAGGGCAAGTCCACCCACGGCGCTCCACAGAAGAAGGAAGGACGGGAGGGAAAGACACGGAACAGAGGACAGGATCATGGTCAGCAGTTTTGGGGAGCAGCACACACTCCACCTGCTCAGGAAGAACTGTCAAAGGCCCCGCCTGGGTGGCCACCCGTGGGCGACGAAAGGCGACGGGTCTCCCGCGAGAAGACAAAGCGACCTTGCGCCGCAGCTTACGCGGGCCGCCTGCGCGGCACGCCACGTCGGCAACGAGGGCGCTCACGCGCGACCGTACGCGGGCAGCCTGCGCGTGAACTTCCGCGCGGTCGACCCCGTTTGCTTCCGTCGCTCACGTAGCCCTGTCTGAACACCTGGACCCAAAACTGTTGACATTGTCCTGTGGTGGCACGTTTTTTACTGCTGCCGCCTTCAGCCGAGCTTCCGCCGGCGGAGCCCCCCTCGCGTCCTCGACGCTGGTCCTTTCCGGGGCGCCCGATTTAAAAAACCTACCCCACCCCTACTGCCAGTCGATTCGGACCAGCAGGTGCTGAGTTGTGGGGGGTCGTTTCACGCGCGCCCGCTCGCAATTTCTGAACCCCTACATGCGAACCCCCTACTGCTCCAATTCGGTGGGCACTAAGCATAGGGTTAACAGGTGGCTGTCTACCGCCGAGGCAAGCTGAAATGACGGCCTAGGAGGGACCGAATCACCCACAAGAGAAGAGAGAGGAGGTAAGACTCGGGCCCTCTCCCCCTGGACCCCGCGGGCCCCGACCTCTCGCGGCTTGTTCGCTGGGGGCAGCATTCCGGTGGCCTGAACTGACACCTGGCACTGCACCCGCGTTGCCGCCGTCGGTGTGGGCAGCTGCCCCCCACAAGGATGTGATGGGCCAGGCGCACGTCCAACACACTGGTTATGATGCGGTGCTGCTGCTGGTGTCGCCTTTTCTTATTCCGCGACCGCAGAGGAGACTCAGAGGAGGGGCCCGAGGAGGGGGAGACAACTTTGGGACCCACTCCACCCCCGGGTCGCCTGAAGCAACGAGACCCGGTTCAGTGATTCTGGCCAGTTGAAGGGCTCCAGGGCCCTACCACTAACCGGGTCCCCTTACCTGGGGTCCTGGCTATACCCGAAACCAGAAAAGCCGAGGACCTGGGGGAGGTGCGGACCCCCCGCATACACACACACACACACTCGTTCCTCCGCCAGCGGAGTGGCACCGCTGTCGCGAGACCTGAAAACTGATACACGATGGGCAATGCACCCAGCATTCCGGGTGAGATGCTAGCGGCGAACCTGGCCTTCAAGGGGACAAGACCTGGATTGAACCCCGGGTGGAGCAGACGTACACACAGTGGGCACCCACACACACACACACACACATGCATACATTGTTCTTCCTCAGCCAGCTGATCCAACGCAGCCGATGCTGAGGTGGGGTACGCCTAGATTGATTGCCACCGAGCGTCTGTCTGCCGGAGGATGGTTTCGACGTCAGACACGTGGCTGACGCGTGCCAGAGCCAACTCAAATGGAGGATGCCGAAGCCATGCAGAGTAGCCTGAGAACTGCACGCGACGTGCAATAGCAGTTCAGAGGCGCCATCCAAAGCGACTCACCTGAAGTGCGAGACCGCCAAAAAGGGGGTGGAAGGGCCAATACTGCTGCGGCGAATCACCCGAACACACACACACACACACACAACAAACAAACAAACAAACAAACAAACAAACAAACAAACAAACAAACACATATACACACACAAACACACAAACACACACACACACACACACACACACACACACACACACAAACACACACACACAAACACACACACACACACACACACACACACACGCCACATCAATACTCTCGGCGAGCCGAACCGGGGGCGGAGGATCCTGCTGCACAGCGCCCAGGTCGACGCCCCAGCCAGCAGGAGCGGGCGTCCCGGGCCCGTCCAGGACGGCCTTGAGGGTCTTCGACGCCTTCGGGCCCGGTGCGGAGAGGCTTCGTCTAAGACGACGTCTCCGCCACTGCTGCCGCCAAAGAGCTGCCGAAGGGTGGCCGTCCCTCCATCGCGCCCACACGCTCCGCAACAGGAAGGCACCTGATGTTGGAAAACGTGTCTCTGGCCCGGGGCGTCTCTGGGGTCTGGGCAACTTTGGAACCTGCGGCGTCCATACCAGGCAACGTGTAAGCCACTTGGAGCCGCCAGTAAGGGCCTCTCCGCGAGCCTTGGGGGCTCGCGAGCCGGGATCATGCCTGCCAGAGCCCGGACGGAGGAGGGAGGCCGGCGTGCCACGCCTTGACGAAGGGAGCCCGCACTGCTGCGCGAGGGCTTCGCCGAGCCCTTCCGGAGCATGCACCTCCAGAGGCGGAGAGATGATCAGGACACTCTGAAGAACGGGCTGGTAAATATAGAGTTTGAACACAGGTATAAGCACACACTTTCGGAGCTCCGCGCAGCTCTTCTTTGGACCGGCGCTGGAGCCCCCATGGCGGCGACTCCGGCGTCGCCCCTGGGGCGCTCCGCGCGCGCCAGTGGGGGCGGTCCGGCGCCGATCCGAGGAAGCCGAGCGGACCTCTGATCTGTTCGTGCTTATGGCATGGCTTGTTCCCCAGCGTAAGTCGCGCACCCCGACGCGCTGCTCGCGGCTGTCCTCGCGCCCTCGCGGGGACACCTCGGAGAGGGGCACCTCTGCGGCCCGGGCCGCGGCGCGCGCGAAGCGAGGCTGCTTTCGCACCAACTGGGGAAAGGCAGGGCAAGGCAAGAGCCATACGCTGTATCACGCGTTGGCTGCGACGGCGGCACTCCGGAGTGCATATAAGTGATCGGCGTCTCATGACTGATGAACTCCTGCATCTCCACAAACGCGAACGGCGTGCGGATGTACAGTCCAAAATTTGATTTCGAAGATTATCAATTAAGAAAGCTGGGCCCGCTTTTCAGAAGTTTCCTCAGGAAACGCTGGGCCAACTTTTGGAGCCGAACTGGCACGAGCCAGAACTGGAGCACTACCAATCCCCTTAAGAAACTGAGCCAGCCTTCTGGCAAGTTGGTCAAGAAACGCCGGGCCAGCTTTTCGGGGGGAGGTTTCTGAATCTGATCCTCGACCGTAGCTGCTTGGCCCACACCAGCCATGGACCCCAAAAAAGTTCTGGACGACCTTCTGGGGTGGGGTCAAAAGTCACTCCCGCCCTCGAGATCCGCTCCAGAGCGCTCTGCCGCGCTCCGGCGAGGTGGCCCCTCCGGAGACCGAGGAGCGGACGGGACGCCCCGAGAGAGGCCGCGCGACTGGCCACGCCCCAGGACTCCCGGGAGGGGCGCCCCCCGGGTGCCGTTCTTCCCTCGGGGTCTGCTTCAGAGGAGCTCGCTGGCTGAGGAGGAGGAGGAGGAGGAGGAGGGAGGAGGAGGAGGAGGAGTGTGCGGGCATCTTGTGTCACGGGATGCATCGCTTGGCAGCGCAGAGCGCAGAGGGAGGAGGAGGAGGAGGAGGAGGAGGAGGGAGGCAGGGAGGAGGGGAGGGAGGACGAGGAAGGAGGGGAGGAGAGGAGGGGAGGGAGGAGGAGGAGGAGGACGAGGAGGAGGACGAGGAGGAGGAGGAGGAGGAGGAGGAGCACCCGGAGCCTAACCCCTGGGCCGCTCGATTCCGCCCGCCTGGGCACCGACGCCACCCCACCCCGCCGCACCCCCCTGGCGCTGCCGCCCGCACGTCGGGGAGCAAAAAAGGGCACAGGCATAAGATCTCGGAGGTCCGCGCGGAGTCCTTGGGTCGGCGCTGGACCCCCCTCCCGACGCGCGGAGAACGTCAGGAGCGCCACGCCGGAGGCGCGCCGCCAGGGGGGTCCGGCGCCGATCCGAGAGATCCGCGCAGAGCTGCGACAGGTCGTGTCTATGGCCTGGCCTGTGTCCCCGAACACACGGGCCGCCAGAGGCAGGAAGGGCGAGAGATTGGCAGGAAGGGAACGGGTCCTGAGGGGAACGGGTCCTTGACCCCACGGGCCTGCCCTGCACCCACCCATACTAACCTTGACCCCGACATGCACTGTGCTCACTACGCGTCGGCCTTCCTTCCCCTGCTCCCGAGACTCATCTTTGTCCGTCCCTCGACGTCCCTGACTCCTCTCCCTCTCTCTCTCTCTCTCTCTCTTTCTATCGGTCCTCGCTACCGTCACCCGGCTCGTCTGAATACAAACACGCCGGGGCCTCCGTTCCCCAAGACCTAACAAGACATCGGGGCGACTCCGGCTGGTGACAACCATGAGGGCCCCAGGAAGGCCGAGAAGGGGCGGCGACGGTGACGGTGGCGGCGCCTGCAGGAGTGTACACGCGAGGGGGGGCTCAGCGGGGCGGGGCCAGGGCGCCCAAATACATGGAATGGAATACAGCTGAAAACCTCGTCACGGTCCAGCAGGCACCGCCAGAATGCACCGAAGCTGCGCTCGAGCTCACTCCGCGTCGGGGGTCTGGCCAAGTCCGCCCAGACCTCTGCTCGAGGGGCAGCGCCCGAACGAATTCTGCACCGCGGCGCGCACGAGGGAACATGGAGAGGGGGGAAGCCCTCTCAGAAGGAGGCTGTCTTAAAATTGAAGAAAAAAACACTGCGTAACCATAAACTGTTGGCGAACCGCGCGGACTTCTTGGATCTGCGCCGTACCCCCCCTCCCTGGCGCGCGGAGCGCGCCAGCGGCGGCGCGGGAGGCGCCGCCGGGGGGTGTCCAGCGCGAATCCAAGAAAAACCCGCTCGGAGCGCCAAAAGTTTCTGTTTACGTCGCTGCTCTTCTTCGAGTACAAGGACCCCCTTCTGCGCGTGGCTGCACACGTAGGGGGCCACATGCGAGCCATACCCCTAACCCCCCACGATTTCGGGGGGGGGGGGGTCACTTCGTCCGGGAGCCCCCGAGCGCAACTGAACCCCACCCCACCCCTCCGAAATCGTGGGGGGCAGGGGCAGGGTTCGCATGTGGCCCCCTAACACGTTCGAGGGGCGAATTCGGCTACACGCAGGAGTGACCCTGGGTAAGAGTGACCTTTGGTGCGCGACTTTGGGGGGGCCTCGGGGGGACCAAACCAGGGCGCGCAAGGCGCTGCTCCTGCCTCGTTTTTACCATTTGGGGACCCATCTGTGCCCGCACCAAACGTCACTCCGGCGAAAGGTCGCTCTTGCGTTAGTCGACGAATGCGAGAAGGGGAGCCCCCGCGGCCGCCCGCGGCGCCGGCGGGCCGCCGCGCCTGCTGCGCGGCGCGGCGGGCCACCAGCCGCGCCCCCTGGGCGGTGCGCGCGGGCGGCATCGCCGGGTCCGCGCGGCGGCGCCGCCCCCCCCGCCCTGGGAGCCGCGGTCGTTCGGCACGGGCGGGCAGGGCAGCCGAGGCCTGCGCGCTCACCTCTGGCAGCCAGGCTCTGGCGGCGCGCACGAGGGGGCAGGGGGAGGGGGGGGAGGCTTCTTAGCAGGAGGCTGCTGCTTAGGAGCAGCGGGCCGTGCGTTTCCAGACAAGGCCCGCGCCTTCTGGGAGGCGGGGGTGCTTCTAAGAAGCGCTCCCCCCTCCCCCATACCCCCTTGTGCGCGCCGCCAAAGTCTGGGTCGCGTCTCGCCAGCGGCTAGTGGCCCTGCCTGGCTCGGGCCGTCCTGGGCACTGGCACGGTCACACGCTCCCCTGGCCGAGGCCGGGAGGGTCTGCGCATACGGCATCCTCGGGCCCAGGATGCCGTGGCCAAGCATGGTGGTGGTGGGGCAGCTGGAGCGCCCGCGCTCACCTCTGGCAACCAGCATAAGTCGAGGCGCGCAGCAGGCTCCACGTCGCGATGCCGCCAACGCTGGTATTCGACACCGCCTGGACCGTTCAGTCTAGACCAGTAGCGACTCTCCGACAGCACACATCTTTCGATGTCGGCCGATTCTGGCCCGTTGGCGGCGTTGCGCTGGGGTCGCCGCCGAATCAGCGCGGCGCGAACCTGATTACAGTATCCTGCGAATGGCCGGCGATGCCCCGCTCGGCCGCACTCCGCTCGGGGCCAAGCCCATGCTCAGCCTCCGAGACCCCCAGTTGCAGAATGGAAAAAGGCGTCTGTGAATGGCTGGGGCCTGGCGGGGCCCCAGCGAGGCCCCCCAGGGCCCCAGCCCCGCCACTGGGCCCGAGCCCTCCTGCCAGACTCCAAGGGCAGGACTGCACCACGGCAAGGGGGCTCGGCTCGGCACGATGGGGCCTCGGAAAATCCCCAGCCCCGCCTCCCGCCTTTCCCGGAGCGTTTTGGGGGGGGACACACGCAGATTTTTGGGTCGGCGGGGCGAGAGCGAACCTCTTACGCCAAAAGCTAGGTGGGCTCCGCACAGCTCTAATTAGGGAGACAAAGCACAGCGGGGGGGGAAGACACACAGTCCCTTCCAGTGAACCATCACGTCAGGACGCCCTCAAGACCAAGCCCTGCCCATGGCACTCCGAAGTCCCACCTCTGACGGTGGGCGTGGTCTCTGACTGTGCGTCGCATGCTGCCCTCTCCACCGCCTCATCAAGCCCCATTTGGCCTGGCTGCCGGCCCAACAAGTGCAGGCAGCACTGAGGATCGAGGACGAGACAGGCAGCCTCCGACTCGAGGGATCGCTCGACACTTCGCCGGCCGCGGTGGAGTCGAACGGGGCGGGACGCCCCCCCACCAGCTGACGCTCGAAGAGAGCGCCAGAGCGATGGTTTGGACGTAGTGGCTGGCCTGTCGCTCTTGGGGGCCACATCCTGAACAGAACAGCCCCATGTTCTGGGAAGTCGGAGAACCCGATGCAAAAAAAGGCATTGGTCCTTCGGGGCCCCAAGGCCCTGCTACTGTCCCTTCTCCCCCCTCGCACGTGATCTGGATAAAGGCAGCGGTGCGCGCGCTCACCGCGGATGAAAAACAGCATAACTGTTGGTGAAACTCGGGGCCATGACCAAGTAGCACGATACATCGACGCCCAGAGATGCGTGGTGAAAAGTACAGCGAGGTGGCGGGAAATACTGATGTTCTTGGAGATAGGGTGCGCAATGAGCCATTGGCACATCAAGAGCAGCTGAAAATTACCAGGAGGTAGTCTGGGGTACTACGACATCCTGAGACGCACGAAGACAAATTATAATGTGAAACCAGGTAAGAGGATATGGTGATCAGGGTTCACAATTCAGAGGCGCTGAGAGATACCAGTATACGCGATAGTGTGATTCGATATACTGCGGCATCGATTGCATTGTTCTCAAAAGGGCGGTGAAGCCGTGTGCCATCCACAACTCCGCCGACCCCCACTTGCGGGGAGTGAACAGGCGTGTGAAATGATGGGCTGCCCCCCTCCCCCTGCCCCCCTCTCCTGGGGTCCAAAATCCCATTTCACGGGGGGGGCGAGCTCGTCAACGCACCCCGGGGTTCCTCTGGAGCCTCCAAACAGCTCCAAAACGGCCGCGGGAGTCCAAACGGTCCCAAATAGATTCGCGACGGCCCACGAGGCCCCGAACACGGTCCAAGAGCGCTCCCAGAGGCTGGCCGAGAGGGCGCCAAGATAGAAAAATCGCCCCATCCTCTTCGTCTTCACAGCGTGCACCACGGCCCGAGGGGCCTCCAAAACCGTCGACAGAGGGTCCACGAGACCCCCAAAAAGACCCCCCAAGACGGCCCAAGAGGGCCCTACGGTGGGCGGACACAAAGTGCCCACACTTGTCGCGCCAAGACAACTCGTCGTCAAATGACGTCGAACGAATACGTATACCCCCCTTTCCCACCAACGCAAAGTTGGCGGGCTTAGGCGGCAGGCCGCGCGCCAGGGACAAAATACGGACACTTCAACTTTGGGTTTTGGGGGGAGGGGTGCGAGGCAAGTACATCATGCTGTTGCGGTTGTTATCACGTCGCAGTGTCTTGCCGCCCTGGGTGTGGGCACTTTCTGTCCGGGCACCGTCCAGGTTAGATGTGTTTGGTGGTTACATGCTGCTATCGTGCTTACATGTGCGCGTGCATTTAAGTGTGTGTGTGTGTGTGTTGGTGCGTGTTTATGCGTCCAGCACGACACGCAATTAGATGACGCTGTGCGCGTAAACGGAACCACGGGACACCCGCAGGACCACCGCGGGACAACCCATGGGACAACCCGCGGGACCTCCACGGGACAACCCACGGGGCAGCCCTTGGGACAACCGTGGGACTACCCACGGAACAGCCACGGGACAACCTACATGGCAACTTCGAGACAGGGTCTGGGGGCCCACCACCGTCTGGCTCCAATCACGAGGCCGACGCCGGGCTCCGCCGACGAGTCTTGCGATTCCGTCTCACACCGCGCCGTTTGCCAATGCGCCCATGGGCGGCTCGCGCGCTGGTGCGTCGAACCTTGCCCAGCGAAACGTTAACCGCGTTCACAGTCACAGCCCCAGCTGGAACAATCAGCCACCGCCCACCCGCGCAGGCGCGCGATCGCGCTCCGATCTTCGATCATCGCGGCCCGCTTCCGCCACAGTAGATGCTCGTGACCGGCCCCGCCCGCTTGCCCGATCGCGCGGAGAGCTTCCGTGATGGAATGTTCTTTCCCAGCATCGAAAGTCACCCTGTTAGCGCGGCACCATTCATGCAAGGACGACTGGCAGGATGGCAATTGGGAATACGCTTCTTCGTGCGACTTTGTCGCAGGCAGCGCTCTCCACACATTAAGATCGCCTGCAAAAACGACCTCTTCAAAATTGACTGCTCTAGTTGCCATGCATTTGTCTGCGCAATGACAATTCTACAAAGGAGGGCCGAAAACTGCGCCCTGATACGCCACGCGTTGAATAGCAATAGGCTGGGACTGTTGCCCGCCAACTACCACGCGACCCACGAGGACGCAACCAGCCTTTCAACAAGGACAGTATACAATCGGGCACAGTGAATACTCTGAGCTTAGAAAGTAAGATGTCGGAATCGACGTGGTCAAAGGCACCCGGTACATCTGAGCAATACAGAGCAACGATCACCCCTAGTGGCAATGCCAGAAGCCAGATCCGCCGACCCCCTTGTGGGGCCACCAGGCTGCATTTGTAGCTTGTAGTTTCCAGAGTTACAATTCTGCTTCTTGCTGGTTGCTGCAACGAGTTGATTGACCGCGCGAGGGGGGGGGAAGCCCAAACTCGATTTTTAGCACCCCCTGGGCGCGTTGTCTGAATTGCTGGGGGGCTCGAAATCGACATCCCTCAAACAGATCGGCGGGGTCAGTGCCCAAAAACACAAAAGGATTTGCACATTTCTGAAATTCGGTGCCACCCCTCACGCAGATCCGCGAAGTCAGGGTCAAAAAACACAAAGGACCCCTCACGCCGATCCGCGCGGGCAGGGTCCAAAAGCACAAGCGATTTGCCACATTTCTGTAATTCGGTGCCACCCCACACGCAGATCCGCGGGGCCAGGGTCGAAAAACACAAAGGGATTTGTCACATTTCTGAAAATCGGTGCCAACCCTAACGCAGATCCGCGGAATCAGGCCCCCCCCAAAAAAATTTGCCTTATTTCTGAAATTCGGTGCCACCCCTCACGCACATCCGCGGGGTCAAGGCCCAAAAACACATGGGATTTGCCGCATTTCTAAAATTCGGTGCCACCCCTCACGCAGATCCGCGAGGTCAGGGTCGAAAAACACAAGAGATGTGCCACATGTTTCAAATTCGGTGTCACCCCTCACGCGGATCCGCGGGGTCAGGGTCCAAAAACACTTGGGATGTGCTTCATTTCTGAAATTCGGTACCCCTCACGCAAATCCGCGGGGTCAGGGTCCAAAAACACAAGGGATTTGCCACATGTCTGAAATTCGGTGCCACCCCCTCACGCACATCCCTCGGCCCATCAATCCCAAGGTGTGGTAACCAAGCTCGTAAACCATACACGTCAACCAATCACCCTGTGTGGTAACCCCTCTTGTGATCAGTTGGTTTTGCCGATTGCGAATCGGTCTCGCATGAAGTTCCAATTCTGCTGCACGAAAGCGCCAAAGCCTCATGACTTAGCGCTTCCATGGCCCATTCTCCGAGAGAGGCAGCCGGCGGCAGTGGGCGAAACCTTTACGGTCATATATTATTATTATAATTATTATTATTATAATATTTTCTTTTATTGTGATGTATATATATATATATACATACATAATAATAATAATAATAACACTGACACCATGTTCTTCTTTGCAAGCGAATTGATAACGACCATAAACCCCGACTCTCTCCACGAGGTATAAACGAAGTGCCCAACAATCGCCCCACGACTTTCGAAAGGTGCGAAGTTTGCTGAGCCCTCTGTAATAGTCAGGGTCTGTGACCGCACCACGTTTAAACAATGCAAACTGGC